AGACAACCGCACACAGTCTTAAGACTACTACAGCCATCTAAAGACGACCACACACAGTCTTAAGACTACTACAGCCATCTAAAGACGACCACACACAGTCTTAAGACTACTACAGCCATATAAAGACTACCACACACAGTCTTAAGACTACTACAGCCATCTAAAGACGACCACACACAGTCTTAAGACTTCTACAGCCATATAAAGACTACCACACAAAATCTTCAGACTATTGCAGCCACCTAAAGACTACCGCATACAGTCTTAAGACTACTACAGCCATCTAAAGACTACTGCAGGTGTCTAAAGACTACCAGACACCATCTAAAGAATACTGTTGCTGTCGAAAGACTACTGCACAACATCTAAAGGCTACTGCAGCCGCCTAAAGACTACCGCACACCATCTGAAGAGTACTGTAGCTGTCTAAAAAGACTACCGCACACCATCTGAAGAGTACTGTAGCTGTCTAAAGACTACAGCAGCCATCTAAAGGCTACTGCATGTGATCTAAAGACTACTGTTGCCGTCTAAAGGCCTCTGCACACTGTCTAAAGACTAATGCAGCCATCTAAAGACTAATGAAGCCGTCTAAAGGCTACCGCACACTGTCTAAAGACTACTGCACATCATCTCAACACTACTTCAGCTGTCTAAAGGCTACTGCATACCATCTAAAGACTACTGTAGCTTTCTAAAGGCTACTGCACAAAGTCTACAAACTACTTTGGCTGTCTAAAGGCTACCACACACAATCTTAAGACTACTACAGCCATATAAAGACTACCGCACACAGTCTTAAGACTATTACAGCTATCTAAAGACTACCACACACAGTCTTAAGACTACTACAGCTAACTAAAGACTACCGCACACAGTCTTAAGACTACTACAGCCATCTAAAGACTACCACACACAGTCTTAAGACTACTACAGCTATCTAAAGACTACCACACACAGTCTTAAGACTACTATAGCTGTTTACTCTCTGTGGAGTTAATGGAACACAACATTCAACTTCATTAAGTGAGTTTAATCAGGTTTAGTATTGATTATAATATAGATTTCTTATAATAAATTTGAACCCATACTATGGATTTGTGGTCTGGGTTTAATATAGTACAGTAATAAAAAGAGGCTGAGTGGCCCAAAGAATCAGCTATGCTATAAAAATAGCGTCTCTTGGGAAAGAGGGGGCTGTATGTCTAAACGTTTGATGGACAGCATATATTAAACATAAAGAATTTGTAAGACTCAGTGTGGCGCTGTACCGGAGGGCAGGCTGATGCGGTCTCCGGGCCGTAGTTTGATGCGGCTGCGGCGGAACATGCCGTGGCGTTGCTCCGTGCGAGGTTTTTCGCGGTAAAGCTGCTGGATGATAACATTAAGCTCGCGCTCCAGGATGTGGATCTCGCGCTCTGCCAGCTCCTGCTCACGCCGCCGCAGCGCCTCCTGCTGGCACTTCTGCTGCAGCGCAGCCCGCGTTAACTCCTCTTCCCACGACCTCAGCTCCTACAGACAGAGACAGTTACAATCACTGGCCAATTTATCAGAAACACCTATCATATAGACGCACTCCGTGGGTTCACAGATGCAGCCTTTAGCTCATCACTCTGCACATTTTTCAGATTTTTTCAGTTTATGGAAATAATGGACGTCGTGTTCTCTGGGCCAAAGAGGAAAGGAACCATCCCAATTATTACCAGCGTAAAGTTCAAAATCCAGCGTCTGTCATGGTGTGTGTGTGTGTGTGTGGAGGGGGGTGTGGGGGGGTATCTGTTGCATATTCTGAGGGGTATATATGCAGTTTGGAACAACATGTGCTGCCATCAAGATAATATCTTTCAGGGACGTCCCTGTTTGCTTTAGTAAGCCACAGTGGCTTTGTACTTTCCATTAAAGAAAATTGGAAAGAGGCTTGAGATTACTTTTCTAGACACACAGTGGGACACTGACACACTACTTTGACGACATTCTGGTAAAACTTTCTTTTGATGCTCCACTTTACACCAATCAGGCATAACATTCTGACCACCTCCTTGTTTCTACGCTCATTGTCCATTTTATCAGCTCCACTTACTATATAGGTGCACTTTGTAGTTCTACAGTTACAGACTGTAGTCCATCTGTTTCTCTGATACTTTGTTAGCCCCCTTTTACCCTGTTCTTCAGTGGTCAGGACCCCCATGGACCCTCACAGAGCAGGTACTATTTGGGTGGTGGATCATTCTCAGCACTGCAGTAACACTGACGTGGTGGTGGTGTGTTAGTGTGTGTTGTGCTGGTCTGAGTGGATCAGACACAGCAGTGCTGCTGGAGTTTTTAAACACCTCAGTGTCACTGCTGGACTGAGAATAGTCCACCAACCAAAAATATCCAGCCAACAGCGTCCTGTGACCACTGATGAAGGACTAGAGGATGACCAACACAAACTGTGCAGTGGCAGATGAGCTATCGTCTCTGACTTTACACCTACAAGGTGGACTGACAAGGTAGGAATGTCTGATAAAGTGGACAGTGAGTGGACACAGTGTTTAAAAATTGTAACAAACTGAGTGGTCTTTAGCCCGGAGGACACAGTGTCCATGATTTCCAAAAAGAATTTCAAATGTTGATTTGTCAGACCACAGGACACTTTTCCACTTCCTCTCAGTCCATTTTAAATGACCTCGGGCCCAGAGAAGGTGGCAGCGTTTCTGTTTATATAGTTTCTTCTTTACATTTTAGAGTTTTATCTTGCATTTATGGATGCAGCGACGAACTGTTTTCATAGTCAGTGTTTTTCAGAAGTGTTTCTGAGCCCATGCAGTGATTTCTACTACAGAATCATGTCTGTTTTTAATGCAGTGCTGTCTGAGGGCCAGAGTCTTTAATGATATTTTGTACCGTAGATGATGAAAAGCAGAAGTTCTTTGCTGTTTTATGTTGAGAAGCGTTCTTCTTGAATTGTTGCACTATTTGATGGTGCAGTCTTTCACAGAGTGGTGAACCCCTCCTCATCTTTACTTCTGAGAGACTCCGCCTCTCTGAGATGCTCTCTATACCCAATCATGTTACTGAACTGTTGCCAATCAACCACCAGGTGTTTTTTTAGCATTACACAACTTTACCAGCCTTTTGTTGCTCCTGTCTCCACTTTTTTGGAATGTGTTGTTGGCATCAAATTCAAAATGTGCAAATATTTTTCAAAAACAATAAGATGTCTCAGTTGCAACATTTGATTGGTTGTCTTTGTACTATTTTCAATTAAATATAGGGTTTAAATGATTTGCACATCATTGCATTTTTTTATTTAAATTTTGCACAGCGTTCCAACTTTTTTGGAAATGGGGTATTTCAGTTTGATCGATTATTTTCTTATTTATTTTTAGTTACTGCTCTATAAAAAGAACAGACCAACTCCTCTCTGCTTAGTATTGTTTATCTCTGTCTATTATGCAATAAAAAGATAAAAGATCTATACTTTACAACATTTAATCAGAGCCATTGCTTCACCTGTTTTTCCCCTTTTCTGTATTTTAATATTTTATACTAATGTTAAAATCTTATTCTCTGCTCATTTTGCTCGTGTTATTGTTTGCTAATATTGTATTCTAATGCTGTTTGCTATCCGGTGTGGCCCAGAGGAGGATGGGTTCCCCTTTTAAGTCTTGGTTCCTCTCAGTGTTTCTTCTTCTTGCTCTTAGGGAGTTTTTTCTTGCCACTGTCGCCACTGGTGACGCTCATGGATTTTTCTGTAAAGTTGCTTTGCGACAACACCTGTTGTAAAAAGCGCTACATAAATAAACCTCGGCTTTGACAACAAAGCCATGCCTTGAGAAAAGATTAACAGCAGAAGCTTATTTACTCCAGATGTTCTCCGTATTCAATCAGACTGTGTTCTGTGGTGACCTCAGACCTTTTCTTTGGCCCTCAGCTGGTCGAACATCTCCTGTATCTCCAGCTTCCAGTCGTCCTGCAGCGAGTGGAAGGACTCAGCGGGCATCTCGAAAAATCCTGACTCCTCAATGGAGGTCAGCTGGTCCAGGACGGTGGAGAAGGGTGGCCGTGAGTGCGGGTCAGTGCTCCAGCAATCTGCCCACAAAAACAACACATTACACAACTGAGACACACCGCCAGACAAATTCTTATATTTGAATGTTCCTGCTGTTTAACTGATAACCTTAATTATAATGGTAATAATATCACAATATTATTATTAGGGATGCATCAATAATTTTTTTCAGACTGAGTACAAGTACATATTTTAGTGCTCTGATACTGAATCTGATACCGCAACAAATTGCCTACTTGGTATGGAATGAAGTAGCTGTTAGTGTAAACGAGTGTGATGTGCCTTAACAGTTAAATCATTAAATCTATCTGATGTTAACGAAGGTTGTTAGCTCTGCTACATCAGTGATCTCTGATCGAGTTCCCCGTCAGAAAAGCTCTTCTGTACAGCTGTAAGTAAAGTAGGTTTCATAGTTTTGATCCTCATCTGTCTCTTTCAGCAGCAGCACAGCGACAGCAGGAATCACATCTGAGGAGCTCACGCTTCCAGTTTTCCGTCTTGTTGGAGTCGTTTGATTGGCCGGCTGAGCCGTAGCTGAATGTCCTCTAAAGCCAGACAGACACTGTGTGATGTTAGAGATCTTGTTCTTTGGTGACTCTCACTGTCCGTTTGAATAGACCATCGTGTTCAGACAAAGCTACGATTTATAAACTCGCACTGTACGAAACGCTCCGTCTGACTGACCTGCTACGGGAAACGCAGCCTCTACAGACGCTCTGACTACAGACCGTTATCAATAAAGCTGATTCACTCAGAATAACCGAGTACTGAGCAGCACTGCTAACACTGAGCACTGAAGCTAAGAGCAGGCGCTGATGTTCACGGTAGGACAGTTCGGTCTCTCTACAGCCTGAGTTACTAAAAAAACAACATATCAACATTTATACCTCAATATTCTGTTCTGTCAAATAAAGTCGCATATACGGACTTTGGTAGTAAATGTCGACTCTTTTTCTCCTCCGTTTTGTTGGCCTACATGTCTCCACCCGTGTTGGTGAAGCGGTTGTGATTGTGTGTTTATAAACAGTCTATAATCTCTCAGTGTATCCTGGTGGGAGTCTGCCGAGGCAGAATGTTTAAAGTGAGCGACGGCTTTGTGTCCGACTGTGACGGAGTCAGTAACTCTTCTTTGTGTGAGCAGATCCTCCTCCACTGCGTCTGTTCATTAACACGGCAGCGACACTCTGCTTACGGCACACGGTGTCATCTGGTTCCAGAATATTGGAACTGGTGAATTTGACCAGTTGGGGAATCAGTCAAATGAGCGCAGCATTGGCCTGATACCCAATATCAGTACTGGTATCGATGCACCCCTATTAAGTATAATCACTTATAGTAACATTGAATACAGTAGAGTCATGCGTAAAAGATTTAGGCACCTGAGAAAACTATATTTAGGCTGTTTATTTGGGCAGTGAGTGTTTATTTGCTCAGAAAAACACTAATATAAGACTAAATGAATAACATTAACACTGTAAGTAGTATTTCATGTGTGTCAGTGTGTTTAACTATTTCCTGCCCTCTCCTCGAGGAAGCCCAGTATTAACTGTATTTATCATTCAGTACCTGCTTCATCTAATCAGTACTTCATTATGTTAAATCAGCTGCTGATGGAGTTTAATAAATCCATGTGATGTCTGGAGGCGTCCAGAGGAAATCTGGAACCAAACTTTGTTCTATTACTTTTTCAAAAGAGACAATTTTCACACCTTGTTCTGTATTAATGTTTATTTGCATTAATTCTACTGTTACACAGTGTTTTTACTTATTGCCCGGATGAATGGTTTTAAATAATGTGCTTGGCAGGGCCGAACAGTTAAAGGGAAAATATTTAATTGAGATTTTTTGACTGTGATTTAATTTGTGAAGCTCAAGGCCTGTATTTTGGCCAAGAACTCCAGCATGTCCAATTTCTTTCCGGCTCAAGGGAACACTGAATGTTGCGTGCCAGAGAGCTGGTTAGCTGTGGTTGTGATGTCACAGCACGTGTTTTGGTTGCCTCTGATTGGTCTAGCTCCTCTGCATTTATTCATCTCAGGCTCCGTGTTACTAGGTTCAGTGTTCACTGCTGATAGTGAAGACTACATCACTTCTCGTGATGTTATATTTTGGCTATATTGTCCACCCTTACAGGCGTAAATTCATTCAGACGTTGTCTTACCTTCCATGAGGCGAGCGAGGGGTTCGGGGCAGGTGGATGGGATGGGCAGTGCCAGCTTATTCATGGCCACTCCGTACGCCACAGTGAGTCCATCAATACCCCGAAACGGCACCTCACCTGTTAACAGCTCCCACAGCAGCACACCGTAACTACAGAGAGAGAGAGAGAGAGAGAGAGAGAGAGAGAGAGAGAGAGAGACATTACACAAACATTTTTTCAACTTTTCTGTTTATTTAAACAGGGTCATTAGCATCAACACAAAGCAAAACAGAACACACTGTTAAAGCACCATCTGTGGAACCTGTGGAACCTGTGGAACCTGCCACTGATACACATTTAAAGTACCAAAAAATAACAAAAAAAAAAAATCCACCCAAATCAGCACCGAAATTCTCTTCATCTTTCATACCTTTTACACACTTAAACAACATTCAATAAACAAACAAGGATTTTATTCAGAGAAACTTTCAGTATATTTTACCATATATGAAAGACTATTTTGGAAGTGTTACATATCAGGGGTAGAAAAAGCTTGTTAGACTAATTTATACATTAATGAAAATGTAAAGCTTTATATTATGTGCATTTTACTGCTGATGTTTTCATATATTTTACTCATGCAGAGAAAAAACATACTTAACTCTGATTTTTACAGGATTTACTGTCAGTGTAGAAATATATATATATATATATATATATATATATATATATATATATATATATATATATATATATATATATATATCGCTGTTGTCAGAACAAAACCTCGTATCTCCAAAATGGTAACTTTACAGGAGAAGGAGAAAACCAACTTTACTTTTAATGTAAGTCAATGGAACCAGACTTTTTTCCAAGTCATTTTAGGTCATTTCTTTTAGTCCATCCATCATGAAACTGACAGGGTAACAGGTATTTTCAAATTATGTCAAAAACTGAAAAATGTAAAAAATGGAGATACAAGATTTTCTTCCGACAACAGCGATATATATATATATATATATATATATACACACACAGAGGATCTCTGACTCTGAAGGACGCTCTGTGTCTCTACTAAGTCTTCTCTAATCCCTGTGTGGGAAACCCCTGAGCTCAGACAGAAATAGCCGAGCACCGCTTCAGAGAGCAGCGCTGAACCTCACGCGTCTCTAGAACAGAGCATTTCACACCAAACCTCTCTGAACGAGTCTGTTTACATCTCGGCAACTAAATAATGCAGGAATTTTGAAACATTGGTGGAGTTCCCTTTTAAAAACAACCTGATTCCAAACTGCCGTTAAAAAATTCCTTAAAACGTACTGGTTTAGTTACTCATTCCCCAGCGCCAACACCAACACTACAGCACACACGATGATTACTGTAAGCTTTTACATTATTTAATGTGAATATCATTATATTATTCAGAATTCCAAAGCCTCTACGGCAGTTAGACGTATCGTTCAGTAGGGGAGGTCAATGTGACGATGTTTTATCATTTTTGTGATGTAACTGATGATATTGTCAATGATGGACAAGTGAGTGGAATCAAAAACGAACATTGACATGCTTTGGAAAGCGACTCGCTGCAGTGAAATAATGAGCCGAAGTAACCGAAAGTAAGCGCTAAGCTAACTCTAACCTGGAGAGAAAGTTCCTCTGGTCCGTAGGCTGACGTGCAGTGTTTTCTGTACTAAGACTTAGTGCCCAGGTGTGAAAACACAGCTGTGACGATGGAAAAAGGCTTGTTTTTAACGTGGAAAGTGCACAGATAAACAATTAATATTTAAAAAACATACAGACTAAACTATAATAGAAAGTAGGTCAAAGCGCTGCACTGCGATTTTTTTAACAACAAAATATGATGATAATCATTTTTAGATATCGCCCAGGCCTACGTCACAATACTCTTCTCTGAGTATGTCGTGAATATCATCAGTACTTAAGGAACACAGACTAACTGAACGCTTCAGTACAAAGTGATCGCTCATTATTCGGCCAGTTTAAGTGGATTTAGTGCAGTTTGTAAAACACAGAACAACCATTATTACAGCCTTAGGTTTTTATAGTATTTTTATATATCCGGCACTTCAGGTTCCATTTTGTCTGTTCCAACTTAATAAATCCCAGAAAAACTAAATATCATGATTCATATCGTGAATTGTGAAAAGTATCGTGATATAACATTTCTGCCACATCGCCCACCCCTATCGTTAGAGACCTTGCCCGGGGACTCTTATATCAGAGGAAATGAGCAGCCCACCTCCAGACGTCACTGCCTTTGGAGAAAGTAGAGGAGCGGATGACCTCGGGCGCCATCCACGCATAAGTGCCCGCTGCGCTCATCTTAGTGGTGCGGTGCCACTCTCGCGCCAGCCCGAAATCTGTGATCTTCAGGGTTTTATTGCTCAAATCCTCGTTTTCTACACACTCCAGGATTAGGACTACGGCATGAGGAGGAGGAGGAGGAGGAGGAGGATGGGAGTGAGGGCGAGGATATTTATTAAGGATGCAGGACGTGGGGTCATTCAGGATAAAAATATAAAATAGAATATAGTAGAACAGAATAGAACAGAATAGAATAAAATAGAATAGAATAGGACAGAATAGAGTAGAATAGAATATAGTAGAATAGAACAGAATAGAGAAGAAGAGAATACAATAGGGCCGAACAGAACAGAGTAGAACATAATATAGAGTAGAATAGAGTACAGAACATAATACAGAATAGAATAGAATAGAATAGAACAGAACAGAAAACAATAGAACAGAGTAGAACAGAATGGCAGATGAATGTTTTTGGGAAAAAAACAACGACAAGCAGGAACAGAAAGCAACAAAGATAAAGGAGAAAGGGGAGGAACAAGTGAAAGAACAGAGGGAGAGAGAGAGAGAGAGAGAGAGAGAGTCAGTTAGCGTTAGTCTTCTCAGTGACACGTTCAGAAAGAAAGGAAGGAAGAAGAGCAGATGTGAATTAGAGTCCAGGCTGTTAATGAGATCTGAGATTAAAACAGTAAATCTACAGTTAAATCAGTGAGACAGTCACACGACAATAACCTACACCTGAATATATGCTGTAACAGCAGCTTACGGACACCAAGCACCAAACATGGACAGAAGCATGGACAAAACTCAGGCTTCATCATGACCACTACTGCTGTTCTTAGTGGTTTTAGCTCTGCTAAATTTTCAATTTACTTTTTCACACTTTCAGAGTGGGGGTGGGGGTGGGGGGTGTACAGTGTGGCATGTGGGCCACGTTTTATGTTTTTTTTTCCCAACTTGTCAAATTTAGCAAATAAATAGAAACTGTGCACTAAAAAACCACATTTAACTGTTTCCCTCATCATAACTCACCTCTGCACAGCCATTTTCAACCTCTCTTTATCTTATAACAGACTGTTCTTGTTACCGTGCCTTTAAGACCAATAAATGTAAATGAGCTCTGTTCTGATTGGACGCTGCATTCAAAACGCAGTCCTGGCTTACACACTCCTTTTAACTTAAACTGCTATAGGCTGGAGACGTGGATGTGTTGGTTTTTGTGACAGAAAAAGACAACAAATTCATAACGCGCTGTTTTAGTTTCCACATGCTGAAACTGTAAAACTGAACTTTGCAAAATAACCCCAACCTCCTCACGGTGTGCTGAGTTAGCCACTTCACTAAAACCGTGTGAACAACCATGTCATTCAGCATTCTGTCAGAGGAGAGAGGAGAATTACACTCTGTAATGTCTTCCAGGTTTCTCAAACACTAGAGGGCGCTCCCGAGCGAGTCCAAAATGAATGGGTTAATATGGAGCATTTGAGCAAAATCATAGTTTATAAATGCTGAAATATTTTTCATGTAAAATAATTCATTCATTTCCTGAACACAGAGCAGCATAAAACATTTAACACTGCGGTTATATTTTAAGAGCTTTAAGAGTTTAAAACGGCGCCTCATGTCCGTTCATGACGTCAGTGAGCGCAAACAGCCAATGAGCTGCTCCGCTCGCCAACCAATCAGCACTCAGTAGCAGTAATAATAACCAATCAGCTCTCAGTAGCAGTTATGCTAACCAATCAGCACTCTGTAGCAGTAATGCTAACCAATCAGCGTTCAGTAGCAGTAATGACAACCAATCAGCACTCAGTAGCAGTAAAGCTAAGCAATCAGCACTCAGTAGCAGTAAAGCTAACCAATCAGCTCTCAGTAGCAGTAATGTTAACCAATCAGCGTACATTAGCAGTAACGCTAACCAATCAGCGCTCAGTAGCAGTAAAGCTAACCAATCAGCGCTCAGTTGCAGTAATGACAACCAATCAGCGCTCAGTAGCAGTAATGCTAACCAATCAGCACTCAGTAGCAGTAAAGCTAACCAATCAGCACTCAGTAGCAGTAAAGCTAACCAATCAGCGCTCAGTAGCAGTAATGTTAACCCTCAGCGTTCATTAGCAGTAATGATAACCAATCAGCACTCAGTAGCAGTAAAGCTAACCAATCAGTGCTCAGTAGCAGTAATGCTAACCAATCAGTGCTCAGTAGTAGTAATGCTAACCAATCAGTGCTCAGTAGCAGTAATGACAACCAATCAGCACTCAGTAGCAGTAATGCTAACCAGTCAGCTCTCAGTAGCAGTAAAGCTAACCAATCAGTTCTCAGTAGCAGTAATGCTAACCAATCAGCACTCAGTAGCAGTAAATGCTAACCAATCAGTTCTCAGTAGCAGTAATGCTAACCAATCAGCTCTCAGTAGCAGTAAAGCTAACCAATCAGCACTCAGTAACAGTAATGCTAACCAGTCAGCTCTCAGTAACAGTAAAGCTAACCAATCAGCTCTCAGTAGCAGTAATGCAAACCAATCAGCACTCAGTAGCAGTAAAGCTAACCAATCAGCACTCAGTAACAGTAATGCTAACCAGTCAGCTCTCAGTAGCAGTAAATGCTAACCAATCAGTTCTCAGTAGCAGTAAAGCTAACCAATCAGCACTCAGTAGCAGTAAAGCTAACCAATCAGCACTCAGTAACAGTAATGCTAACCAGTCAGCTCTCAGTAGCAGTAATGCAAACCAATCAGCACTCAGTAGCAGTAAAGCTAACCAATCAGCTCTCAGTAGCAGTAAAGCTAACCAATCAGCACTCAGAAACAGTAATGCTAACCAGTCAGCTCTCAGTATCAGTAAAGCTAACCAATCAGTTCTCAGTAACAGTAATGCTAACCAGTCAGCTCTCAGTAGCAGTAATGCTAACCAATCAGTTCTCAGCAGCAGTAAAGCTAACCAATCAGCACTCAGTAACAATAATGCTAACCAATCAGCTCTCAGTAACAATAATGCTAACCAATCAGCACTCAGTAACAGTAATGCTAACCAATCAGCGCTCAGTATCAGTAATGTTGGGGTCTGTTTGCTGTGGTAAAGGAAACATACAGGTGAGTTTTCTTTGCTGTTTTAGTGAAATTCGTCCTTCTACTGTCTAAATTAAAGGAAAGTTCTGGGTGTTTAGAAACTATTTTAACTGTTTGTTTTTAGCCATTGAGCTCCATTTACTCCCATTCACAGAGGACTCGCTCATGGGCGCCCCCTGCTGTTTTGTAGTCCTGTTTTTGATATAACGGAAATAGGAAGTGGCCGGACTCCTCATAAACAGGCTCTGACAGTTCGTCCAATATTCATCCATTGCAACAGCAGGGATATTATACATAGCAGAAACAGTCACAGCACCAACGTCTTATCAGAGCTAATTCAGCAGCTTAGTGAATATTAACCCTTTAAAAACAGCTATTCGTGCTGTTTAACCTGCTTCTCTCGTTTAATAAAGTGATCTCTGAATTCTGCTGCATTGAATATGTAATAAACATTGTCTCACAAAACCAAACTTCTATACATTTTTGTTTAGTTTGTCTTACAAGTTATATTTTTGAGCAAGTAAACACGAGTAGAATTATACATAATACGCCAGACAAGTTTTACTGTTACGGTAAAACAATTTACTTTTGTTATAAGTGCGTATCGATCCAAACAGCTCTGAGCAATCCAACAACAAATGAAGCCTCAGGTATCTTTTACACAGTGATAGGAAACACAGCAGCTCACAGAAAGCTCAGAATCCATGCGCTGATATTTTGAAAACTTAATGTTTTGAATCATTTGTGAATAATATGTCATCTAACATGTAAGGCCTTCCGTTCAGCTCCTGAAGCCCTAGCCAATGAGAGAGCTCACTCAGCTGTATCCACCTAGACACCACAGAGAGAACAATCCTGATTGAAGTAAATGATCCCTTTTTATTCCAGCCGGAACGAACAGTGAAATAAGAGCATTA